TATCTTTGACCGATAACCGTGGGAGGCAAATTTAAAACGATCTATTCGGGGTGAACGGTCAAATAAGCACAGGAACAACTTTTTACAATTTGCTAATATATTTCGGTTGTCGAATTACAACCTTCATCAGAACGAATTACATTTGCTGTTAAAGAGAAAAAAAAATTCTTTGAAGAATTCTTTGAATTCTCTTTGAAGCTTCAGTCTTTACTTTTAATGGAACAATCTACCGTCAGATTGAAGGAACCCCTATGGGCTCCAAAATCTCTCCGATCCTGGCTCTGATAGTGATGGACCACGTCATTGATAACATTTTAAAGAAAAATAACATAAACTTCAGAATTAATTTCATCAAAAAATATGTACGACGATCTAATTTTGGGTGTCCACAAAGACGATGCAGGAGCAATTTTAAATCAATTTAACAGTTTCCACCCTAGCATACAATTCACACTTGATCACGAAGTCGACGGGGGGTTACCCTTTCTTGACACTAAAGTCATCAGAAACTTGGATAACTCGATCGTTTTTGATTGGTATAGAAAGCCTACTTATTCTGGGAGATATTTAAACTTTCATTCTAACCACACTTTTGGCAACAAGATAGCAACAGTTTTAACAGTTTTTTTAACCGAAATATATTAGCAAATTGTAAAAAATTGTTCCTGTGCTTATTTGACCGTTCACCCCGAATAGATCGTTTTAAATTAATAATAACAACATTCACTTGTTTTATATTATACGGTGCGTTTCAAAAGTAACGGATAAATTCGATAAAATCATTACGAACAATTTATGAAAAGATCCCTGAAACGGGTCTAAAGATTTAAATTTGTTGCAATTTTTTGGTGTATATTTAAAATTTTTTCGCCATTTTTAAACGAGTTATGACGTCATCGAAGTTTTTTTTTAAATGGAATACCCCATTCTTTATATCGGAATTTGAAAGAGAATTTTTTTCTGAATTATGTGCAATAAATATTATTATCGGTTACATAAGAAAATTTTCGAAAAAAATTAATTGAAAGTTTTATTATTTCTCATTCATTTGATATAGAAAATAGCAGTAGCAGTGCGTAACCATGGCAACCAATTGTTTTGATTTGACATTTTCAAGTGTCAAAATTCAATTGAGCTCAAAGCTTTCTCTTTAAAATGATGTATAAAAATTATTGGGTTAGATTGGAAAAATATAGAGAAAAAAAATGTTGAAATAAAACCTACATTTTTTTATAACCTAAAAGNACTTATTCTAAATTAAAGCTTAAAGGTTTCTCTTTAAAATGATGTATAATAATTGTTGGGTTGGATTGGAAAAATATTGAGAAAAAAAATGTTGAAACAAAACTTACATTTTTGTATAACGTAAAAGTATCAAAAAAGATGTTAGTTTAAAAATTCCTGGAAGCCGTATTTATTGAAATTATTGAATTAAACTTATTTTAGATTAAAGCTCAAAGCTTTCTCTTTAAAATGATGTATAATAATTATTGGGTTGGATTGAAAAAATATTGAGAAAAAAAATGTTGAAATAAAACCTACATTTTTGTATAACCTAAGAGGGTCAAAAAAGATGCAAATTTGAAAATTCCTAGAAGCCGTATTTATTGAAATTAATTAATGTAACTTATTTTAAATTAAAGCTCAAAGCTTTCTCTTTAAAATGATATATAATAATTGTTGGGTTAGATTGGAAAAATATAGAGAAAAAAAATGTTGAAATAAAATCTACATTTTTGTATAACCTAAAAATGTCAAAAAAGATGCTAATTTAAACATTCTTGTAAGCCGTATTTATTGAAATTAAGGAATGAGACTTATTTTAAATTAAAGCTCAAAGCTTTCTCTTTAAAATGATGTATAATAATTATTGGGTTAGATTGGAAAAATATAGAGAAAAAAAATGTTGAAATAAAACCTACATTTTTTTATAACCTAAAAGTGTCAAAAAAGATGCAAATTTAAAAATTCCTGGAAGCCGTATTTATTGAAATTAATTAATGTAACTTATTTTAAATTAAAGCTTAAAGCTTTCTCTTTAAAATGATGTATAATAATTATTGGGTTGGATTGGAAAAATATTGAGAAAAAAAATGTTGAAATAAAACCTACATTTTTGTATAACCTAAGAGGGTTAAAAAAGATGCTAATTTAAAAATTCCAAGAAGGCGTATTTATTGAAATTAAAGAATTAAACTTATTTTAAATTAAAGCTCAAAGATTTCTCTTTACAATGATGTATAATAATTGTTGGGTTGGATTGGAAGAATATTGAGAAAAAAAAAGTTGAAATAAAACCTACATTTTTTTATAACCTAAGAGTATCAAAAAAGATGCAAATTTAAAAATTCCTAGAAGCCGTATTTATTGAAATTAATTAATGTAACTTATTTTAAATTAAAGCTCAAAGCTTTCTCTTTAAAATGATGTATAATAATTGTTGGGTTGGATTGGAAAAATATTGAGAAAAAAAATGTTGAAACAAAACTTACATTTTCGTATAACCTAAAAGTGTCAAAAAAGATGCTAATTTAAAAATTCCTGGAAGCCGTATTTATTGAAATTAAGGAATGAAACTTATTTTAAATTAAAGCTCAAAGCTTTCTCTTTAAAATGATGTATAATAATTGTTGGGTTGGATTGGAAAAATATTGAGAAAAAAAATGTTGAAACAAAACTTACATTTTCGTATAACCTAAAAGTGTCAAAAAAGATGCTAATTTAAAAATTCCTGGAAGCCGTATTTATTGAAATTAAGGAATGAAACTTATTTTAAATTAAAGCTCAAAGCTTTCTCTTTAAAATGATGTATAATAATTGTTGGGTTGGATTGGAAAAATATTGAGAAAAAAAATGTTGAAACAAAACTTACATTTTCGTATAACCTAAAAGTGTCAAAAAAGATGCTAATTTAAAAATTCCTGGAAGCCGTATTTATTGAAATTAAGGAATGAAACTTATTTTAAATTAAAGCTCAAAGCTTTCTCTTTAAAATGATGTATAATAATTGTTGGGTTGGATTGGAAAAATATTGAGAAAAAAAATGTTGAAACAAAACTTACATTTTCGTATAACCTAAAAGTGTCAAAAAAGATGCTAATTTAAAAATTCCTGGAAGCCGTATTTATTGAAATTAAGGAATGAAACTTATTTTAAATTAAAGCTCAAAGCTTTCTCTTTAAAATGATGTATAATAATTGTTGGGTTGGATTGGAAAAATATTGAGAAAAAAAATGTTGAAACAAAACTTACATTTTCGTATAACCTAAAAGTGTCAAAAAAGATGCTAATTTAAAAATTCCTGGAAGCCGTATTTATTGAAATTAAGGAATGAAACTTATTTTAAATTAAAGCTCAAAGCTTTCTCTTTAAAATGATGTATAATAATTGTTGGGTTGGGTTGGAGAAATATAGAGAAAAAAAATGTTGAAATAAGACCTACATTTTCGTATTACCTAAAAGTGTTAAAAAAGATGCTAATTTAAAAATTCCAAGAAGGCGTATTTATTAAAATTGAGGAATGAGACTTATTTTAAATTAAAGCTCAATGCTTTCTTTTCAAAATGATCTGTAATAATCACACCTAATAACCATTTATCAAAGAGATACCTTTTTGAACAACAAAATTCAACAACGCCACTTTTCACTAAACTTTTAATCTCACATCTGGATGAATAAGTGTAAATATACCTAAAAACCCTACAGTGCCGATTGCGTCATNATAATCACACCTAATAACCATTTATCAAAGAGATACCTTTTTGAACAACAAAATTCAACAACGCCACTTTTCACTAAACTTTTAATCTCACATCTGGATGAATAAGTGTAAATATACCTAAAAACCCTACAGTGCCGATTACGTCGTTTTTTATACAGATTCTTTCTTAGAATCTCACTTGCACAAAGACGTTTTTGGTCAAAAAATTACAAAATTCACACGTTTTAGCTACTTTTAAACATTATTGGGATCAATACCTTTCTTATATGACCAGGAGAAAACTCTATAACCAAGCAGCGATCGCAGCGTGTTATACACCATTAGAAAGGTCAGAAAGTTATAGATAAGATAGGGATAAGTAGGGATGTATATTAAGGGTGATTTAAGCATGACGACGGTAGATATTGACCAACGAAAACCCGAATTAAGATTATTTGAAAGAGCACTATTTCTGAGTGTGATAACAATTTTTTAAAATTCGGTTCTTTGTTACATCCTTTGACGGTGCAAAATCCAAGTTATATAAAGGAAGAGGCTCTTTTGTTTGTATTTTAACATTTCGGTTACTTTACAAATGTTATGATTGCGCTCCAATAGATCATCTTTGATATTATTAACATCACAGCTTTTATGCATCTTTTTAGCGACCACTTTCAGATTTCTGGTTTGCTTATTTTTATAAGTTGACGAGGACAAATTCTTTTTGATTCCAAGGGCTGTACAAGGTTAACGGGAGAGAATAGAAATCGGGCATTTTGTGATTTTGATAGAAGAAACTATGACGAATCGAATAACGTATAGATCTTAGTCATCGGGTACATCGTTTACGAGATATCACCACTTAAAAAAGGTCATTTTTGTGTTATTTTCGTATATCTTCGCATTATTTTGGCGTTTTAGCGGAATTCGAACAAGATTTCGAATCATTTCCACTTTCGTATTGGCCAAGAATTAAGCTTTCGAATGAGACATTGTTTATCAAAATCTGTTGACTAGTTCTCTTGTTATAGTCAAAATAGTATACATGTAAAATCCTAATTGGGGGCTCACTTCGTATTTGGTAGTAAAATCCTATTAAAATTAAAGAAAATTATTTATCAATTTAAATCGTTTAAGATATTAAAAATAAAAGGATTTAATTTTGAAACGAAATTAGTTAGTGTAGGGTTTCTTGACCTGGTAACTTGGAGGTTCATCGCTCTCTATTGCACTTCTAACCCTCCCGATTGCGTCGCTTCCGTGCAATAACCCCACTATACAGGAATATTAAACTAAAAAAAATCTTAAAAAAATATTTTATTTAATAAATTATTCACATTAAACCCCATTACTATATTAATTTTAAGCAGTTCTACCAGTACAACAACAGCACACAATAAACAAAGTTACTCCGACGGTTACTAAAACAATAATAAAAAATATTTTTAATTTAGCACAAAAAAATTAATTAATTTTACCGGCGAATGTGGTTAAAACTGATTTTGAAGGTTCTGTTTGTTTATCTCCATTGGTGTTTGATAATACTTGAACGCGAAAACGAGGGACTTGTGCGGGAACGGTCAGCATTGAATTAATTGGCAGAAAACTTCCGGTGTTACAAAGAATTTTGTCCATGATCTGTCACGAATAATCATTTTTGACAATGTTCAAAAAATAGTGTAATAACACGAAAATTAAGAAATTAAGTTATGGCACTACATGAAGATAGATCGATCGGTGGTTCGAATGTTGGGACGAGCCTGTATGATACGGAAGCACACGATATTGGTTCGATTGCTTCCAAGTCGCAAAGATACGTAAGATAAATTTTAAGAAAACTGTGGTTAAAATTGGCATAATAATTTTGAAAGAATCATATCTCAAGAAATAATTGAGATATTAAGATGAAATAAGAATCAATTTATAGCAAATTTAATCACGTTTTAACACACCAAAAATTATTTCTTCGTTTCTATAAATCTCGTCGATACGATTTTTTAAATTCAACTCTGTCGTTATTGAGGTTAAGTTGACACAAATTTATTTACTAGTCTACAAAATCACATTTAATATTTTTTCTACGGATAGGTTTTGGAGCTATGATTATTCGTTTATTAAATTCGTTATTTTTTTCTGAATACATAAATATAGGGTTTCACAGGTCTATTTTAATAGAAATTAAATTTACAGTTTCCTGTAAATTACAACTAAAAATTAAAAAAACATATTATTTCTGATATTTGAAACAATCCATTTGTTGAACTATTTAATTTATATTTGTTTTACACAAAAGTTGGAATAGATTGCATTATTTTACATTTTTTATTAATATTTAATATTATTATTAAATGACTTCATAAATTATTGATAGATGGCGCTTATATATTTTTTTTAATTCAATGAAACAGCAACAAGTTTTTGTGTTAATTTTAAAAGATCTATCAACTGTTAAAGTCCTGCTTTTGATTGGTTAAGCTTTATAAATAATAATTTTAAAAAAATGTTATCTCAAGAATTAATTGAGATATTAAGATAAAATAAAAACCGTTTTATAGCAAATTTAATCTAAATTTTATGCATCAAAAATTATTCTTTCGTTCCTATAAATCTCGTCGATACGATTTTTTAAATTCAACTCTGTCGTTATTGAAGTACACTCCATCAACCTCAAAAGTGTGCATTGAGGGAGCGGGGGGTAGAGGGGCGAGGGGAAGAAGGAGCGGGGGGAAGAATGAGCAGAAAGATAATATAAAATGATAACGGGATAAAGATAACGTAACGGGAAGCACATTAGGGCAGATTGGTGGAGAGAGGGGATAGAACATTATTGGGGAAAGTTGGCAAGCTGGGGTCAGAGAGTGGAAGGGGCCGACGAGTTGAATGAACTGATTGGGTGGTTTGGGGGGCAACGTTGAAGAAAGAGAGTCAGTGATGGGGGGTTAGACTGGGAAATAACGAATGGTGGGATAGGGAATGCAAGCAAAGAGGCGAAAAGAGAAACTAGAAGGAGATTGAGACAGTGGCAGAGAGGCAAGGTAGGGATAGATAGATATATAATAGAGGCTAGGAGAAAATGCAAAGAAGAATGCAAGAAAAAGAAGAGGGAATTGAAAGAGGATAATGAGGTACAGAGATATTTAAAGAGGATGATTAAGGGAATAGAGGATGACAGCGGAGATATACAAATGACGGAAAGGAGAACCTACCTCATGGGATTGTTGGGAGGGGTGGAAGAGAGAAGAAAGGGAGAGGGAGAGCGAGAGCTGCAAGGAGGAGGGGAGATAATACTGGTCGAAGTGAAAGGAGTATTTAGGGGAATGAAGAGGGGAAGGGCGCTAGGAGGGGATGAGATCCAGAATGAGGCATGGTTGGAGGCGGCGGAGACAGTGAACAAGAAGCTATGGTATTATTATTATTAATGCCGGGCTGAAGAAAGCGACCCCTCTCGTTACCGCGACCTATAAGATCTATTGTAACTTTAGCCCTCCAAAGATTCAGGGCAAATGTAGGTCCTTAATGAACCTTAGTATTGTCCTGAGCTCTTGAACCTTTATGTCGGTAAGTAACAAGGGAGTTTTACCGAAAATGTTGTGTCTTAGACGGCTTCTGGCGACGCAATTGCACAGTATATGTTCAGTAGTTTCTGACTCGTCGTTGCATACAAGCTTGACAAGCATTCGACAAGTTTGATCCTCAGCTTGTCCAATGTGGAAGAGGTGGTATTTTCCGGTCAGCTAGTCTGAGAGCGTTCTTAGATCCCCTTTGCTGAGGCATAAAACCTCTTTGGTTTTGTTTTGCGATGGAGTTATCATAATCTCTTCTGTAGGTTCAAAGCGGTGCATCCCTGCTTCTAAATATGACCTTACACGGTTGGTTGAAGTTGTATTCTGTCGGTATGAGGTCCGTTTTAATTTCAATCAGGTGATTTAGACATGGGTCCTTGAGGATCTCGAGGTGTCCTCTGAGGTTACCCTGCATCAACTTGAGTGAAGAAACTGTTTTCAGTGATAAGGCACTTAAGGCTGCCTCCTTTTGTACAGGTATATAAATGGAGCGGTGTGAGACCTCGGACAGGATCTCATTGCACCCATTATGTTAAAACATGCTAACCGCTGGATTTGTGCCAGCTGTTGTTGTGCTGTCTTATGTTTTGTTTTTGCCCACCAAACCAATGAGGCGTAGGCGACCATGGGACTGATTATTGCTACGTAGGCCCAATGAGCCATTCGTGGTTTGAGACCCCAATTCCTTCCTAGGAGGCTGCGACAGATCTGGTATGCCATAATGGCCTTTTTCCTCACTCATCTAAGTGTAAGTTCCAGTTTAGTTTACTGTCAAGTATTACCCCTAGGTATTTAGCTTCTGTTTTGAGGTTAATAGTTCTGCTTTCAATGGAGGGTGCTTTTATTTGTAGCTTCCTTCTCCGAGTGAAAGGGATTATTTCGATTTTATTGGGATTGATGCTGAGCCCATTGCTTCTACACCAAGTACTGGTGAGTAGTAGGGTTTTCTGCATTAGCTGAGTTATGATTGAATCATATTTACCTCGGATTGTGATTACCAGGTCATCAGCATACCCTTATATCTTAAATCCGTTTTTAGTTAGGGTGTTCATCAAGTCATCAACTACCAGGTACCATAATAGAGGTGATAGCACTCCCCCTTGGGGACATCCTCTTAGCGCCTTTATAGTCAGCAATTCGCCTCCCAGACTGGCTGTGATCTGCCAACTTTTCAACATGGCTATACACCACTTGATTGTCGACGGATGTATGTCTTTTACGTTTAAAGCCTTCTCTATGGATTCATATGAGGTGTTATCAAACGCACCCCCTATGTCTATGAAAGCACATAGGGCTATCTCTTTGGTTGCAATTGCCTCCTCTAAAGTGCTAATCAAAGTATGGAGAGCGGTAATTGTTGATTTAGCTTTCTGGTAAGCATGTTGGCTAGGGTGGAGTGGATTTGTGAGAAGCACTCCATTCCTTAGGTATTGATCGATTACCATTTCCATCCCTTTGAGTAGAAATGAAGTTAGACTAATTGGTCTGTATGCCTTGGGGTCCACGTTTGAACGCCTACCACCTTTAGGTATGAAGACCTACATATAGGAATATTATTATTGGAAGAAGGTCTTCTAAGCCTTTTTGCAGAAAAATAGGCAGAATTCCATCTCTTCCAGGCGATTTTAGGGGCTTGAAATTAGAAATAGCCCACCTTACTCTGTTGGGTGTGAAAATGTTCCCAGCTGTGCTGTGAACCCTACCTGATGGACGGGTTATGTCCATTACTTCAGGGTCGGCATCTGCGTGTTGGCAGACTTTTGAGGAAGGAAAGTGTGTACTCAGTAGGAGCTCCAACGATTCCTTAGCATCCTCAGTATATTTACCATCTTGTTTGCATAAGTGGCTTAGATCAGTGTTGTGATCTTTTACCAAGATCTTATGCAGACGAGCAACTGTAGGCGTATTGTCTATGCCTTCACATAAGCTGCGCCAGGTTTTTCTTTTGGCTTTGCAGATAGCCAAGTTATATTCCGTTAGAGCTTTCCTATAGAGATCCCACGTTTGCTCGAGTTTGGAATTCCTGACATTATTATATAGTCTTCTAACCATGACTCGCTGGTTTTCAAGGTCCTTATTCCACCAAGGCACATTGGATTGTGCTCTTTTGTGTTTTATTGGATAGCTTGATTCATACGCACTATGTATGACATTGTTTACTTGAAAAGAGGCTATTTCGAGTTCCTCTTTGCTTTCAATTTTTGTTTTGATTTCATCGACCTCTTCGCTGATGTGTCTACAAAAAGAGCACCAATCAGTGAGTGAGGGGATTCTGAATTCTGTTTGTTTTGTCATGTCTGCTACAATGACAAAGCGAATATGCTTNTTAAGTTAATACTAATTTATTTAAAAAATCGTAACTCAAGAACTAATTAAGATATCAAATTGAAATAAAAACCATTTTAAAGCAAATTTAATTAATTATTATTGTGAATAAAATCGTTTCTTTATCTCTAAAAATTTCGACGTTACGATTTTTTTAATTCATCCCTATATAATTACTTTTGATTGGTGAAGTTTATAAATACCAATTTTTAAAAAGATCGTATCTCAAGAATTAATTGAGATATTAAGATGAAATAAGAACCATTTTATAGCAAATTTAATGTAGTTTCAACATACCAAAAATTATTATTTCGATTTTATAAATCTCATTGATGCGATTTTTTAAATTTAACTCTGTCGTTATATAGGTTAAGTTAATACTAATTTATTTAAAAAATCGTAACTCAAGAACTAATTAAGATATCAAATTGAAATAAAAACCATTTTAATGCAAATTTAATTAATTATTATTGTGAATAAAATCGTTTTTTTATCTCTAAAAATTTCGACGTTACGATTTTTTTAATTCTTCCCTATCAAATCACTTTTGATTGGTGATGTTTATAAAAACCAATTTTTTTAAAGATCGTATCTCAAGAATTAATTGAGATATTAAGATGAAATAAGAACCATTTTATAGCAAATTTAATCTAGTTTCAAAACACCAAATATTATTTTTTCGGTTCGGTTGTTTTAAAATAATGGCCCATAATATGTGAAAAAAGGATTTTTTTAGACAAAATGTGATCCAAAAATTCATTCAATATCCTTTTTTACCTTCTACGTAAAGTTTGCTCTTTTAAGAAGACAACAAGGTACGCATGAAGAAAATCAATGGAGAAATTACCAAAAATTATGATGTTCTATATGTGAGATCACAGCTTTTTCCTGTACAGGATGGTTCAAATTCGATGTTCGAATAGGCTAACTCTGAAACTATAAGAGTTAGAAAAAAAGTAGCTTACATTTCATGATCTCGTTTTTCGAAAAACTGCTAATGCCGAAAACCTCAAAGCGCTATCGTCTTTTGTTTTTCCTCTAGATCGGTTTTAGATTTTAAGATTTCATGATAATTTTCGTTTTTAACCAATAACCACTGATTATTCGCTTATTAAATGCGTTATTTTTTTCTGATTACATAAATATAGAGTTTCACAGGTCTATTTTTTATTGTTTTAGAATAAAGCTAAAAATAAACTTTTATTTAGTGTTTTCAAAGAAAGTAAATTTACAGTTTCCTGTAAATTACAACTAAAAATTAAAAAAACATATTATTTCTGATATTTGAAACAAATACATTTGTTGAACTATTTAATTTATATTTGTTTTACACAAAAGTTGGAATAGATTGCATTATTTCACATTTTTTATTAATATTTAATATTATTATTAAATGACTTCATAAATTATTGATACATGGCGCTCATATATATTTTTTTAAATCAAATAAACAGCAACAAGTTTTTGTGTTAATTTTAAAAGATCTATCAACTATTAAAATCCTTCTACAAAAACCTGAAACACCCTGTATATCTACTTTTGATTGGTTAAGCTTTATAAATAATAATTTTAAAAAATCCTATCTCAAGAATTAATTGAGATATTAAGATGAAATAAAAACTGTTTTATAGCAAATTTAATCTAGCTTTTATGCATCAAAAATTATTCTTTCGTTCCTATAAATCTCGTCGATACGATTTTTTAAATCCAACTCTGTCGTTATTGAAGTATACTCCACCAACCTCAAAAGTGTGCTTTGCGGAGCGGGGGTAGAGGGGCGAGGGGAAGAGGGAGCCGGGGGGAAGAATGAGCAGAAAGATAATATAAAATGATAACGGAATAAATATAGAGGGGATAGAACGTTATAGGGGAAAGTTGGCAAGCTGGGGTCTGAGAGTGGAAGGGGCCGACGAGTTGAATGAACTGATTGGGTGGTTTGGAAGGCAACGTTGAAGAAAGAGAGTGAGTGACGGGGGGTTAGAGTGGGAAATAACGAATGGTGGGATAGGGAATGCAGGCAGAGAGGCGAAGAGAGAAACTAGAAGGAGATTGACACAGTGGCAGAAAGGAAAGGCAGGGATAGATAAATATATAATAGAGGCCAGGAGAAAATACAAAGAAGAATGCAAGAAAAAGAAGAGGGAGGCTGAGAAGGTTAGAGAGTTGAAAGAGGATAATGAGATATAGAGATTTAAAGAGTATGATTAAGGAAAGAGAGGAAGCCAGCAGAGATATACAAATGACGGAAAGGAGAACCTACCTTAAGGGATTGTTGGGAGGGGTGAAAGAGAGAAGAATGGGAGAGGGAGAGCGAAAGCTGAAACGGGGAGGGGAGATAACACTGGACGAAGTGAAAGGAGTATTGAGGAGAATGAAGAGGGGAAGGGCGCCAGGAGGGGATGAGATCCAAAATGAGGCATAGTTGGAGGCGACGGAGACAGTGAAAAAGAAGCTATGGAAGGTAATAAACGACGTATGGAGAGGAAAGGGGTTTCTGTACAGGTGGAGATTGGAGATAATATGCCCAGTGTATAAAAAAGGGAGTAAAAGGGTGGTGGGCAATTATAGAGGGATCACCCTATTGGACATTACATTTAAAATATGTACAAAGGTATTGCTGGGGAGATTGGAAGAGGAAATGAAGAGGGGGGGCGGGAGTTGTTGCCGGATGGGTAGGCGGTATTAATTAAAAGAAGAGAGATAACTGACAATATAAACCTGGCAGATAGGAAATTGAACAAGAAGGGAGGAAAGTTGTATGCATTGTTCATAGACCTAAAGTCGGCATTTGATAAGGTGGATAAAAGGAAGATTTGGGAGGAAATGAGGAGGAGAGGTATCAAAGAACAGTTGATAGAGAGAATGAAGGAGGTGGAGAATCTACAGACTTGATGTAGGCTGTGTGGAGAAGATTAGGAAACGCTGTGTGGATAGGAAGTAGATTTTTTGGAGAGGGGGTGAGGGCAAAATGGATGAGGGAGGTGATAGGGGCGAAGGGCCGAGGGTGTACAGATGGAGGAGGAGGGTAGAGGGTTTGGGTATATACATACAGGATGTCCCGAAACTCAACGTCAAGCAGGCACCGGATGAGAGGCCAACCCATTCCTGTTCTGGTAAAAATGAAAAAAAAAAAGATCTTTAAGTACTACGGTCAGAAATGTTCGCAATTTAATAGTGATTTTTTTAATAATGTATTCCTTGTGAACCATGCTACTGTAGAAGTCACAAATCAAACAAGAAAAGTCGTTAGTTTTGTAAAAAAATATATTAATTTGATTGAGTTAAGGTTGAAAGAATTTATGTCTATCAAGTTTGACACACGATTCCTAAAAAAAGGAGTAGTATAACACCCTTGGCAAGTAATTTTAAAAGATGGCCTATTTAGTTAAGTTTCCAAAATGGTACAACACTTGCCATTTTTCTTGTCATAAAAAATATTATTGCCTGTTTTTCTGCAAAAAACACGTTATTTAAAAAATTCATACTTTTGTATGTTATTTGTATTTACTTTTTATTTCCTCTTAACTTTGTTAGAAGATGTGCCAGTCAATATCTACGAACTACAAAATGTGGTTTCAACAAGATGGTTGCCCTTATGTCTTGCAAAAAGACTCTTTCAAATAAGGTTAACCTAAAGACAAAATTAAATAAACAAATTTATTTATTATTAATTTTATAGCATTATTTTCTTAAAACTAAGGCAAATGCTCAAATTATTTGCCGTCGGCACTAATACAAGCTCTGCATCGTCACAGAAAAGATCTTT